TGGTTGGCGGTTTGTGAGGCTCCTTAGAAGTAGCAGAGACACAGAGCAGTCTATGGTTGGATGATCCACATGGGCACAAGATCTGATAAACCGTGAAGCTTGAGGAGCAGTTTGCAAAAGAGTGAGGTTTGGCCATTAGGTGTATGAGTGGTTCCACATAATTGCTATGTATGTCATTATTTTTGTAGAGGAGGCCAACTGGGTGTTTATGCCTTTTTCTTTTCTCTCTTTTATGCAATATTTGTCTGTCGGTAGTGATATATTATTGTGTAATACCAGTGTTTATTCCACAGGGGAAGTACCTTCTGACGCCAAGCCCTATAACCTATGCAGAGGAGCAGCTGCTTCATTTCTTTGGACAATTACTGGGTATAGCTATCCGAGCAGATGTGCCTCTGCCACTGGATCTACTACCTTGCTTTTGGAAGATGCTTGTAGGAGAACCGTTGGATCCTGAAGCAGATCTCTATGAAGCTGATATTCTCACCCACAATTACATCAAGAAGTTTGAAAATGTAAATATGTTTGGGGTTTTTTTTTAATATGTTTTCCAGTACTATTGTAAATGAAAATTAGGACTACAAAATATTTTACAACCGAAGGTAAAGTGTGAGGATAGAGGGTAAAGATAAGTTAGAAAAACAAGTGAAAGGACATAATGCAGCATGAAAGAGGCATATTATTCTGTTACAGTTCCTACAGAATCCTTTGTGGAAAAATATGAAGTGTGCAAGATCTGTATGGAGATTGCCATTTTACTTGAAAATTGTTTTATTTCCTGGCTTGCGTATGTGTTTTCTTGCTGCAGTGCTTTTTGATGCATCGATCTAGAATAAGTATGAAGGTCAAATGTTTTTAACTTACAAACCATAAAACCCAGAAACAGCCAGGTAACTAATATTTCTGGGAGGTCATTAGTGGTGGCTGATGTACTTGCAGGGTACCTTTTAACCACTTCAAGTTCGGACACTTTTACCCCCTTTCTGTCCAGTCCAATTTTCAGCTTTCAGCACTATCACACTTTGAATGACAATTGCGCGGTCATGCAACACTGTACCCATATAAATGTTTTAGAATTTTTTTGAGACAGATAAAACTTTATTTTGGTGGTATTTATTCACCACTGGGATTTTTATTTTTTTTTGTTATATAAATGAAAAAGTCAAAAAATTTTGAAAAATAGTGTTTCTTATAAAATTTAGCAAATGAATAATCTTTCTTCATAAATTTTGACCAAAATTTATTCAGTTCTCTTTTTAGTAAAAAAAAAAAAATATAACCCAAATTAGTTTATAACCAAAAATTTTATAATTTTTTAAAAAAACAATTTTTACATTTTTTTTTTTTATATATTAATGTTTTGGGTTTTTTTTGGTTTTGTTTTTAACATTCTGTCACCCTAGCAGTACAGTGTCACCATAGTGACTGTACTACTTGTGGGGGGTGATGAAGATTTTTATTTTTTTTTCTTTACACTGATTGCTTTTACACCCATAAAGGCTGTAAAAGAAATTATTTCTCCTTCTCTCTGACTGCATTCTTGCAGCCATTGAGAAATACTGTGTGAGCTGTGATTGGTCACATGGTACAAGGCTGTTGTGAATAGCCTTGTACCATGTGACCTCTAATCATTCACAGATTTCACAGATTAAGCAATTATGTCAGAAGTGACATCTTGCTTACTACTATTCATGTGATCACTGATTGGCCAATCAGTGATCACATGATCGGGACCTTGCACAGAGGTCCCGTACAGATATCAGTGTTCGGCTGTTTCGGCAGAGGACACAGCGGGCACCGGATCGCGATGCTGCGTGCTCCCAGGGAGCACGCACAAGCAGGGAAGCGGGGAGGATGTTTATAAATGGCCACCCGCCCCTGCACTGCTCCCGTCCGGACGTTTATATACATGGGCCAGATGGGAAGTGGTTAATGTAGTAGACCTAGGGGGCCTGTCTAATGATGCTGGCGAATAGGAATAGTTAGTAATGACGTCACTGTTGGGTAATTTAGTGGGCATTAGGTGTGGCTCTTCCACCTGTGTAAGTATCCTATGATTTTCAGATATGGTATTCTTTTGCTTCCGTTCAACAGAAGAAAAAAAAGAAAACTGTGGCAAAGGGGCAGCCAATAAATGATGCAGGTGTTGGGTTAGGTTTTGGGATAGAGAAACTGTACCATAATACTGCCTGTAGAAATACCATACATTGCTTGTTATGAAAAATTGCTTCTATTCTTCAGTGTGTAAATAAAATGGCAGCGATCATGTATAGTTAAAGGGTCAGTTATGTGTGAGCAGTCAAAGGAATGACCATCTTATACCATAGCTGCTGTATCTTCTTGCTTTAGGTAAATGATGAAGCGGAGCTGGAAGCACTTTGTGCTGAAATAGCCTCACAGCATATTCCCACCGAGAGCCCCGACTCCCCCAACAAACCCAGCTGTAAATTTACCTATTTGACAATGACTGGAGAGGAGGTGGAACTTTGTCCAAAGGGCAGACACATTCCAGTGGTGTAAGTATGAAGGAAGTAACACCGTGTTCAGATCAATGAGATAACTGTCACAATGCTATAGTATTCTTTGCAGAGGCAGTACATGTGTGATTATCATAAAAGTGGAATCTTGGAGTAAAACCAAACGTTTTGCCTCCTTTTGTCATTAACCACTTGTCTACTGGGCACTTATATCCCCTTCCTGCCCAGGCCAATTTTCAGCTTTCAGCACTGGCACACTTTGAATGACAATTGCGTGGTCATGCAATATTTTACCCAAATGAAATTAGCATTTTTTTCACACAAAGCTTTGTTTTGGTGGTATTTAATTGCCACTGGGTGTTTTTATTTTTTGCACTATAAACAAAAAAAAAAATAAAGCAAAAAATTTGAAAGAAAAAAAAGTTTTTTTCTTTGTTTCTATTATAAAATTTGGCAATCAGGTAATTTTTCTCCTTCACTAATGTGCCTTGATGAGGCTGCACTGATGGGCACTGATAGGTAGCAGTGATAGGCACTGATGAGGTGGCACAGAAAGGCAGCACTGATGAGGTGTGGCACTGGTGATGGTGGCACTGGGTGGCTGGGCACTGATCATCAGGGCACTGATCATCAGTGCCGATCTGTTCTCTGACAGTTGCCAGTTATTGGCAGTACTTTCCTCACACTGTGACAGCGTGAGGAAAGTGCAGCCGATAACTGACAACTGTATTTACTCGGTGATCTGCTGTGTCATTAGACACAGCTGATCATGTGGTAAAAGGCTGCTGTGATTGGCTTTTTACCACATCACATGATCAGCTGTGTCTGTAGGACATGGAGATCGCCGGGGCGTGTGGGAGGGCACGTTCTGGGAGGACGTCATATGAAGCCCTCCCAGAACTGGACAACAGCACTGTAACCGTCATTCAGCTATAGTGCAGTTGTCAAGTGGTTAAGGGCTCCGTTCAGTGTAATTTCCATTGTCATATGATTATTTGCATCTCAAGTTGCGTTTGAAATCGAACCTAGTGTGAATGTGATTTTATTGGTGACTATTCACATCAGCGTGATTTTGGGAAAGGTTCCTGTACTACTTTGGTGCAATTCATGTATGATTTTGGCCCCATAGAATATGCAAACCACTTCAAAGTAGCAACCAAGTCTCCCGGAAAGTCGGATTAGAATCCGATCACAGCAGTGTGAACCTAACCTTACTGTGTAGCTCTTTTAATGCTTCCAAAAATGAATGAGTGCAACAAAAATGTAAATATAAATATTTCTTGCACAAGTGGTAAAAAGTGTACTGCAGTTAAATACAATGCAACAATATATATACATTGTAGCTTCCATTAACTGTTACTGTTCTGTGCAGAAATTCTAACAGCAGCTCTCCTGCAGACTGAAAGCTCAGCTGTCACATTGCCAGCATGGGCACATTGCAGGGAGCCTTAGTGCTGATTCACATATGTGGTGTGGCTTGAAGCTCAGGTTTCACAGCTAATTGACACAGTAGCTGTTCACCGGTTCAGGTCAGGTTTAAATCAGGTTCAGGACAGGATTAGCTCAGGATCTTATCCTGTTCACACGTCAGGTTTTTAGAAACCATTCCCATAGAAGTCGATAGCCTGTAATCCGCACTTGAATCGGAACGCACTGCTCAGAAATCGGACAGGACTTTTTTTTGTATAAACCACACTGAATCCACACCAACAGTGCACCGGACATATGTGAACAGACACCATAGGAAGCAGTGTTATAATACGGATCGGATGCAGTTTGAATCCGTATGACACGTGAAATATGTGAACAGGCACTTGAAGCAGAATTAAATTCTCTCAATCAACATGAACTATTTGTAATCCTTATGCTGCTGATATTAGTAAAGGAGGGGCTTTCTCAGATAAGCACACCCTCCTGCATGCATGCTTGATTGTGCTGAGGGCACATGGCTTCCAGGAAGTAAATGCTACATGAATCATCTGCCTTTACTTAAGATGGCCGCGACTAGAAATGCTGGGGGGGGGGTTCAAAAGTGATTTCTCAGTTAAATGAAGCATGGAGACATGAATGGATGGGGCAGTTTGATTTGAAAACGCTATGTAATACATGTTGAATATTCAGTTTGTGGCGCTCAGATACAGTTTAGCTCCGCATTAACTGAAGCCTTGCTTTCTGTATTTGCTTGTGTGAGATGACTGCAACATTTTAAAGCGGATCTTCAGTATGGAAAAAAAATGAAAGTCAGCAGTTATGAATACCGTAGTTGTTGACTCTTAATAAAAACACTTACCTGTGCAGGGATCCATCTCTGTTTTCACCTGGGCTAGTTTGGCGGTCTTCAGGTCCCCAGCGCTGCCCTGTTTACTGTAAGTAGCCAGATGCGACTCCTTGTAGCTTCTCAACTGGCTCCCTACTGCACATGTCCGAGTCGCACTGCGCTTTGTGAATAAACCTGCAGCTTCCTGGGACCTGTGATGTATCCCAGGAGGTTGCAGGAAGGGGAGGAGCGGGGTGAACTTCCACTATGATCACCTAGGTCAGGGGTAGGCAACCTGCGGCTCTCTAGCTGTTGTGGAACTACATTTCCCATGAGGCATTGCAACATTACAAAACTGACAGTTACAGCTATGGCTTGCAGAGGCATGATGGAACTTGTAGTCCTGCAACAGCTGGAGAGCCGCAGGTTGCCTACCCCTGATCTAGGTGAATCCAGTGGAAGTGGGAGAGGGTACCTGTCAAAACTACATACCCGCTCCCTTAAAATAAAAACTTCAAAGGAGAGAGAGTAGTAGTGGGAGGTGAAGTTCCACTTTCATTTCCAGAGCAATATTCATAAATTAAAAAAGGGTTTTGGCCATTTTTTTTTTTCCTTTTACACACTTCCTTATTGAAATTTTTTGTACTCAACTTGCAGTATTAAATAAACCTCTAAAAGAGAACAGTTAAATTAAAGCAGAGATAAGGGCAAAGGAAGACTGAGGTGGAAGGTTTGGTTTTTGCATTGCATTAGAAGAATAGCAATTCATCAAAATTTATGGAGCACAGTTACATCTACCTTTTACTCCCAGACCCGAATATTTTGATTCTTCTCTGAGTTTGCATTTTTTAAATAAAATTGGCTTGTACAGTATATGCTAAGGATGTGTTTTGTTTTTGTTTTTTTTTTTTGTTTTTAAAGATGGGAAAATAAGGACATTTATGCAGCAGGTATTCGCAACCTGCGCATGCGTGAGCTAAAGAATCAAGAATGTATGAACGCAGTGCGATCTGGGCTGGGCTCCATTATACCTCTGCAGCTTCTGTGCAGCCTGACAGCTCTGGAGATGGAGCTCAGGACCTGTGGGCTGCCATTCATCAACCTGGAGTTTTTGAAGGTATAAGAGATTAAGCCATATATTTGTATTGTATATGAACTTTTACTAGGATTCTTAGAGCGCTAAGGGTTAGCTAAATAGTAAAGTAGTAACTGCTTGCCTTGAGGCACACTTTATCTGATTAAATGTAAAAATGTTTGTTTCATTCCGAGTTGAGTTGCTGATTCAATTTTTATTATTCGGAGATTCGCAATGTATCCAAATTTCCAAATTACAATAGTAACGGATTTAAACAAATCTGAAATAATGAAACTAAAATTTAATTGAATTCAAAACAAATTTGAAAACAAAATCAAATTCAAAATGCAAACATGTTGCAGACTATCGCTGATTTCCTTCAAAGACTGTATTAGAATATAGCCATCTTCTGAAATTTGAATTTAGAAAAGAATGGAATAACACAGAATAGAATATTGAGAAAATAGAATAAAATATAGCTGTCTTCCAAAATTCAAACTTAGAAAATAGTATAAAACAGAATAGAATATTAAAAAAATAGAAAATAGAGGAATATAATAGTATATGATAGAAATTAATTGAAAAAACATAGAATTGATTAGAATAATATTATTATACAGGATTTATATAGCACCAACAGTTTGCGCAGCGCTTTACAAAAATGAAGGTGGACATTACAGTTACAATACAATTTGGTACAAGAGGAAACAGAGGGCCCTGCTCGTTAGAGCTTACAATCTAGGATATATAATATTGAATAAAATAGAATATAGCTGACTTCCAAAATTCAGGTTTAGAATAGAATAAAATAGAATAGAAACTAAAGGAATAGAAAAGAATAGAATCAATTAGAATAGAAGAATAAAATAGAATATAGCCATCTTCCAAAATCTGAATTTCAAAAAGAATAGAATAAAACAGAATGGAATAGAAAGTAAAAGAATAGAATAAAAAGAAAATAAAGGAATAGCACAGAAAATAATAGAATATAAATAGAATAAAATAGAATATAGCCGTCTTCCGAAAGTCCATTTTCACATAGAATAGAACCATGTATTCTTCACAATAAATTTGGATCGGTATTTTAGATTCAAATTTGATTTGAATATTTTAGATCCATTGAAACAATTTGAATCTGGTCAAAAATTAATAAACAAAACGAATTTCATTAGTAATACAACAAAACTAAATTAGTAACTTAACGAATCAATTCAAAACAAAACAATTATTTTCATTCTGCACATGTCTAATTAAAACATTAGACTATGCCGCTCATTGATGGACAAGACGCTGAGAGCTTCATCTGCTAATTACAAGATCCTAATTCATGATACTTCTTATATGCCTCACTTTAATTTTTCTTTTTTTTTTTTTTTTTGGTCCTGACCCTAATGAAGAAAAATGTTTAAAAAGCACAGCGTGTTCCCTTTTTAATAGTATTTATTTGTCTTGCAGGCTCACACAATGTATCAAGTGGGTCTGATGGAGACCGACCAGCATATAGAGTTTTTCTGGTGTGCTTTGGAGATGTTCACTCAGGAAGAACTTTGTAAGTTCATCAAATTTTCTTGCAATCAGGAGCGTATTCCCTTCACCTGTCCTTGTAAAGATGGGGGACCCGACACTGCACATGTCCCGCCTTATCCTATGAAAATAGCGCCACCTGATGGAGCAACAGGTAAAAATATATATATATATATATATATCTAGGGCTAAAAGGCTTGTTAGTAGTATGACACTGTTCGCTTATCAGTCTTTAAAAAAATAATAAATCTGTGAATGGTAACTATACAGGAAAATAACATCTCTTTGCAGCTCTTATTGATTTTGGGTATGTATGGACTAGGCCTTTCTGCTCTGGGTAGGGGTATCTATTGGTACAAAATGATAGAAGACATTCATAATGGAAATAACTAAAAATGTATGGGTGGAGTTACACTTTAGCTACACATACAGTAAATGTATTATTACAGGTAAATGTGGGCTATCCAGCTCAGCTTAATGTAAATGTTATGTGAAATAAATCTTTAAAATGTGCTCTTTGGTCACCATGTATAGTTCAAGTGTGTATGCATACAGTCACCGTACACTTTATTTGGTACACCTTTCTAGGTTTGACAGGTTGGACCCCCTTTTGTCTTCAGATTCAACAAAATGCTGGAAACATTCCTCAGCGGTATTGGTCCATATTGACATGAGTTACTGTTTCCTTTCTATCATCTTTAACCAGTCTGTCCATTCTCCTCTGACCTATGACATCAAAAAGACATTTTTGTCCACATAACTGCCGCTCACTGGATATTTTCTCTTTTTTGGACCATTCTCTGTAAACCCTAGAGATGGTTGTGCGTGAAAATCACAGTAGATCAGCAGTTTTGAAATACTCAAACCAGCCCACCTGACACCAATAACCATGCCACGTTTAAACTCGCCTAAATCCCCTTTCTTCCCCATTCTGATGCTCAGTTTGAACTTCAGCAAGTCACCTTCACCATGTCTAGATGCCTAAATGCATTGAGTTACTGCCATGTGATTGGCTGATTAGCAATTTGTGTTATCAAGCAATTGAACAGGTGTACCTAATAAAATGGCCGGTGAGTATATATGAAAACAGGATTCTTTGTCCATTCAGGGTAAGGGGTAGACTTTACTCTGTATTAGCAAAGTGCAGGTCAGTCACAAGGAAAGTGGAGGAGAAAAGATACTGATGAGCTAGAGCGAGTCCAGAGACGGGTAATAAAAATGGTGAAAGGTCTGAGGTATAAAACACATCAGGAGGGGCTTCAGGAACTTGATATGTACAGTCTGGAGGAGAAAAGGGAAAGGGGAGACATGATTGAAACCTTTAAGTACATCAAGGGGCTAAATAAGGTTCAGGAGGAGGTGGGGGGTATTTTCAATATGAAACCAAAATAAAAAACATGGGGACATAATTATTATTATTATTACTGAGGATTTATATAGCACCAACAGTTTATGCAGCACTTTTTCGATATAAAGGGGGGACAGTACAATTACAATACAGTTCAGTACAGAAGGAATTGGAGGGCCCTGCTCATGGAGCTTACAATCTAAAGGGAGGGGGAGGTGGTACAAAAGATGATAGCTGCGGGGGGTGATCTGATGGAGGTGATTCAAGTACAGTTCTTAGGTGGAGGTGGGGTAGGCTTCCCTGAAGAAGAGAGTTTTCAAGGATCACTTAAAGGCCGACGGGGGGGGGGGGGGGGGGCTGACTGGACATACTGGGGCAGAGTTCCAGAGGACCTGACCTCAAACTAACTGGAGAAAAGTTCAAAACGAATCTTCGAAAGTATTATTATACTTAACGGTAGTTTGCTTAAAATAGACTTCCAGCAGAAGTAATGAGCCAGCCAGTAAATGGCTGCAAACATGCTTGGGACAAACACAGATCTATACTCAGACAAAAATGTTAACTAAAAAAAAAAACGGGCAGACTCCATGGACTACTTTATTCTTTTTTCTGCCATCATTTTTCTGTTTCTAAATACAGGGCCTGCCATTGCTTTTCTGCTCTTGTGCTTTTGAGTCACTGACGTGTGAAAGGCAGGCAAACTGAAACCTGCCATATAAGACTTGAACTTCGATTTTTTTTGCTGAATCAGATGACATTTGAGCTTTTGGTGGCTTTGTTGGCACAACCAGACTCAACAAATTTGATTTTCTAATCAACTTTTGTCAGAGGATCTGGGTGAAATATAGTTGACCAGTGACTGCATCCAATTAGGTGCAATCTCTGGGTATAGTGCTGACTGTCAGCATCCTTTGATAGACCAAGCTGTCCAGCAAAAGTGCCAGATAGAGGGTAGAGGCAAGCCATTTAACACTAACAGGAATTCAACAATGGTCAGCTTTTTTCATTTATATAAAACATTTCTCCCAAAAGAAACAAACTGTTGCTGTAGCTGCTTAAATAGTGTTAGCCAGAGTTCAGCTTTAATTAGTCAAAGTGACGCACAGATTTCACTTGCAGAGACACAAGTTTACATCGGTTTTTATGCACACTGTAGTGCATTTTATACACGTTGCAGATTCATAGTTACATAGTTAGTCTGGCTGAAAAAAGTCCATCCAATTCAACCATTAAAAAAAGTTATCCTATGCCCACAGTTGATCCAGCGGAAGGCAAACAAAAACCCCAGCAAAGCATGATCCAATATGCTTCTGCAGGGAGAACAAATTCCTTCCTGATCCCCGAGAGGCAATCGGATATTCCCTGGATCAACTTTACCTATAAATAATCTGCTTATGATACTAGTGTTGTGGAGTGAACAGAGCACATAGAGAACAATTGATTTTGTTGTGCCCTTGCAGAACGCATGCAGAAAAACTGATGTGCCTGTAC